ATTTTGAGATTTTATAAATAAAAAAATCTCCTTTTATTTATTTATTTATTGTTCAGCTAGAGTGGGAGGGAGAGAGAGGAAGAGAGAGAGAAAAATCGATGTGAAAGGGACACATCGAGTGGCTGCCACCCCCACGACCAACCAGGGCCGGAGACAAACTGCAACTGAGGTACGTGCCCTTAGCGGGAACCGAACCCGGGTCTCTCTGGACTGTAGGCCGACTCTCTAACCGCTGAGCCAAACTGGCCAGAGCAAAAAATCTCCTTTTAAAAAGCTAAGATGATATGAATCTTTGTATCACACAGTTTATTCACACCCTTGTATACATGAAGCAGAAAAACATTTGCCTTCCACCGAGTGTTCCCAAGCTTGGCCGGGAGAACGTTGGTTGTGTCTGGTGGAGCTCTTGTACAGGCGAGGGCATAGGCTAGTGGCAGCATGCAAACACATCCTACATTTCCAAAGAATAAAATAAGAAACACACTGCCCTGGCCAGTTTTGCTCAGCGGTTAGAGTGTCGGCCTGCGGTCCAGAGAGACCCGGGTTCGGTTCCCGCTAAGGGCACGTACTTCGGTTGCAGTTTGTCCCCGGCCCTGGTTGGTCGTGCGGGTGGCAGCCACTCGATGTGTCCCTTCACGTCGATGTTTCTTACTCTCTCTCCCTTCCTCTCTCTCCCTCCCACTCAATCTGTACAAAAAATGGAAAAAATATCCTCGGGTGAGGATTAAAAAAAAAATAATAAAAATAAGAAACACTAATTTATAGTTCTATCACAAATCTAGAGCTCAGACCAGGTAGGTTAATTTGAAATGAGCTGTAAGATCTTTCAGAAAATTTGTACCAGATGGTTATCTTGCAATATAAAAAAGTCCCGCCTAATATAGTGCCTACTACATAATTAGAGTTCAGTAACTACCTGTGCAGTGAATGACTCTGGACTGGAGGGTTCAATTTGAAATCTGTTGAAAGTCAATGAAGATTGAAAAAGTCTCGCAGTTTTGAACTTCTTCTGAAACAAAAATTTCATGGCTGTGAGTGCTAATGAATGGAACCGGGAAACATACAGAAGAGTCACATAAGCTCTTTTAACTACTTTTCACTAAACCTAGTTGACTGGATTAGCCAAAGCTCCCCATTTTCTGTTAATAGATTGATGCCCAAGGCAAGCCAATCACTCCTTACAGTAGGCTGCTGTCTAATACCCATTTTTTTGAGTTGCATTTTTACTAAGGGTCAGTTGTGATTGTTTTCATATCTTTTTATACTAGTTACAGTAGTTATTTTTATATGATTTAATTAAATATTACTGAAGCTGATGAAATATGTGGGCAAAAGTAAAAAAGCTTTTCTTCTGGAAATGAAGGTGAATATTTTAGAAAGACTTCATAGAGGAGAGCCCTTAAAAGAACCACTAAACCACATGATCCCTGCTCACAGGTAGTTTACGGCCTTGTAGTGTAGCTATGATATCTATCTATCTATCTATCTATCTATCTATCTATCTATCTATCTATCTATCCATCCATCCATCCATCCATCTAATTAACTCTCACGCAGGGTGGTAAATGCCTTGGGAAAAGGTTACATTGAGATTCCAGAAGTTCAGGGGAAGAAAACTACTTTTGGCTTACGGTATCAGTGATGGCCACATGGAGAAGCTGATATGTGAGCTGGTCTCTGAAGAGTATGAAGTTAGGATATGCAGAGATGATTCATTCCAAGTGAAGAGAAGGATGTAAGCAAGGACACGAGGGTAAGGCCAGTATTTGGCTGGAGCACAGGGTTTATGAAGGGGAAGAATGGAAAGTAAAGCCAGAAAGATAACTGGGTTTCAAATAGTAGAAGGCCCTAACTTCCAGGCTTATAGAATATCTTGTCATTGTGAAAATAAGATACTTATTCTTCTCATCCACAATGAACTTCTGTGGTCTTTCATATAGCTGCAAAACAAGCACTTTATATTAGAGTATGATAATGCTGTAGCATATTTTTTTCATTCATTGTATCATGGATATTTTTCTTAATTCCCTAATTGCTTACAAACACCTTCACATCTAAGCTACTTTGGGTTCTTTTATAACTACGAAAAGAACCCAAAGTAGTAACTATTTTTTGCATAAATGAGAACACTTTTGTTATTTATTTATTTTTTAACACCTGAGGATATTTTTCTGTTTATCTTCAGACAGAGTGTGAAGGAGGGAGGGGGGGAGAGAGAGAGAGAGAGAGAGAGAAACATCATTGTGAGAGAGACACATCAATTAGTTGCCTCCCTCATGACCCTGACCAGGGCTGGGGACCTAACTGGAACTGAGGTACATGCCCCTGACCAGAATTGAACCCGCCACTCTTTGGTGTGGGGGCCAACACTCTAACCGCTGAGCCAAACCGGCCAGAGCAACATGTGTGTTCTTGAGTAAGAAATACATTTCTGAACTTGGGGACCATTTCTCTTCTATTAAGCGAAATTGTTTCTTTAGATTGACCGTAATATGAATCCTTAGGCTATGATATTACACACGCTAACTAATATAGTCATTCTCTGATTCTTTTATTCCTTTGCTTCTCTCCACCAATCCAGACATCCTCAAATACTTTGGTTTTCTCAGTGAGCCAGACTGATAGAGTCTTATGCACATTTTGCATGTCCTGTGACACTTTTCTGGAATGATCTACCCATCCTCATATCACCTCCACACCTCATCCATTTGGCAAACTCCTATTTCTTCTTCAGAATCCAAGTCAAATATCTTTCCTCTGTGAAGTGTTCTCTTCTTTTGTTCTCACTGTATCTTCTGTAATAGTACTTAACACACGGGATTAAACGTTTAGTTTTGTCTCCCTAATGGATTTTGAATTTCTTTAGAGAAGACTCGGTGTCTTTGTATTTGTATTTTTAGTATTTGAACTCAATAAAAGTTCACTAAATGAAGAAATAAATGAGTGAATAAATAAGCAAACAATCGAGCAAACCCACCTCAGTAGTTCTGTCCTCCTACCACCACCATTTGGGTATTCTGCTAAGCACTCAAGAGCTCATTCTAGCTAGTAACGAAAACTACGTACTCTGGTTGAGTAACTCAATCAATAATTAACTCTAAATTGAATTTATAATTGCTTTTGTAATACTATTACAATCATGGGCATTCAAAATGCTGATTTCCTAGATATATGTCATAACCTTAATTTTTAATTTTATTCTGCTTCTGTTAAGTTATATAGAAGGGAAAAGGAGTAGTAGGAATTGAAAATTCTGAGGAATAACCTTAATAGGGATATAGAAGAGCCTGGAAAAAAAAAAAGAAAGCCCATTTTAAAGTAAGATTCAGTCCAGAACCAACATAGGGTATTACTTTCTAATTAAGTTCAGTGGTTTAATAACAAAGCAAATTAAGTGAGAGCAGAGTTGCCAGGGAAATGGAGAAACCAGTTCCTCCCGCTGCTTTCAGGCCTTTGCCGTCATGGCAGGCATAGAAAACGACACTATTTACAGCACACTGGGTGAGTGATGAGGCTGCCTGCCGTGAAGACTGGTGGCCCAGCGGCTCTGGCTGCCCCGGGCTCTACCCAGCTCTGGTGAGAGTAAGGAGATCAGGACTCAGCAGTCCTGGCCCTTTGCAGCAGACTGCAAATTCTGAGGTTTAAGAAGGCGGAGTCGAATGAACCTGCCAGTTTGGGCTCTTAGAGTAATCTAACATACTAGGAAGGGTTCAGAGTAAGCCAGAAAGGCATGTACTATTTAAGTTTCATAGCTAGGAGTGTTTGGACCTTGAAGAGTAGATACATTTAGGTGGGCAGAAAAGGTGGAGTGTGTTGGCGGATAAGCATTCTAAATGGAGGAACGGCACGAGCACAGGGAAGGAGGAGGTATAGAAAACTGAGAGAAGAGTGCTGCAGAGTCTGAGACAGGGCCCAGTAGCAATTGAAGGGACAGCCAAAGGCAGCCATCTCTTGACAGGCTATGGGAGCAGTCAAATGAAACACTGTTCCAAATACCTCCAGCAGTTGAAAATGACCGTGTCTAGGCTCCCTTGATCTCTAGTCCAAGGATTGTGTTGAAAGCCTGATTATAGACAAAGTTTACTGAACACCAACCCCATGCCAGGCACATTTCCTAAGCATTTCATTGAATAGTTTGATCCTCACATTCACCTCACCAGGTAGGTTCTATTGTTAACCCTGGTTTACAGACGGGGAAAGAGGAGCGCAGGAGACTGACAGTTTTTGTGATTGCTTTCTAGTCTGTGACGGGTTTTCACTTTATAGCACTGAATCAGAATTCCCATGATATATTTATTGGACAGGAAATTTTAGAGTTAAAATGTAAGTGTATCATGTTGGGGTAAGGTGGAGGTGGGTACTTGGAAATAAAGTCAGCTAGGAATCAAAGCGCTAAGGATTTTGAACTTTCCCCCCTACAGGTATAAGGAATTTGCTGAGATTTTTGAGCAGGGAGTGGTATGATGGCAGTTTTTAGGAGACCTGGTCTGGAAGATGGACAGGATGAGCTGGTGGGGTGGGGGAGAGTAGGGAGGAGATAAAAGGTGAATGTGATACCAGCTGAACAGTTAGAATGTAATGCAAAAATCTAGAGGCGATGTGATTTTTTAAAAAAATCTAGATCAGGGTGGCTTAGAAACAGAGAGGGCATAGATGCAAGAACCGCTATGAAGTGGTCCAAGTGACTAGAGAGTAAACCTGAGGGACTAGGTAAGCATGGGAGGTCAAGGTGCGGGGGGGAGGGGGTAATTCTGATAAGGGAGGTGATGAATTTAACTTCAGCTTTTCTGAGTTTGGGGATATTGATTCATTCCAGCCTGGGATGTGTTATTGTATTTGACAATTTTAAAACTTTATTTTGTATACTTCTCTCTGTTTGCTATGGATGGTAATATATCTCTCTATATTTCAATTTCACATTAATACTTTACCTGGTAAAGGTATGATATTTACTTATTATTATAATACGTAATTATTAATGTTATTATTATTTACTATAGGTTATCAGACCAGGATGAAGAGGGCAAGACCAAGCAGAAGTGTATCATATCTGACCCCTCCTTTTCCATGGTGACAGTTCAACGGGAAGATAGTGGAATAACCTGGGAAACCAATTCTAGTAGGTCTTCCACTCCCTGGGCTTCGGAAGGAAGTCAGACTTCTGGTGTAGGTAGTCTGGAAGGGTCAACTATGAATTCTTCTGCAGGGAATGTTTCCTTTATTGTGGATGAAGTTAAAAAGGTCCGGAAAAGAACATCTAAGTCAAAGCATGGCTCACCATCATTGCGTCGGAAAGGCAATAAAAAAAGAAATTCTTTTCAATCCCAAGATGTTTCAGCAAACAAAAAAGATAGTTCTTTAATTTCAGAAAGCCAGGTACTAAGCACCCAGAAAGAGGAGATACCTAGTGGCAGTTATGATAAAACAAGAAGAAAGAAGACCACTTCAAATACACCTCCTATTACTGGGGCAATATACAAAGAACACAAGCCATTAGTGTTACGGCCAGTCTATATAGGAACGGTACAGTATAAAATTAAGATGTTTAATTCAGTTAAAGAAGAATTAATTCCTCTACAATTTTATGGAACATTGCCAAAGGGTTATGTAATTAAAGAAATACATTATAGGAAGGGGAAAGATGCATCAGTTAGTCTAGAGCCAGATTTGGGCAATCGTGATTCTAATACAGTTTCCAAAACAGGCAAATTAGTAGCCCAAAGCATAGAAGATGATAAAGTAAAAGAGCTTACTTCACCCCGGAGAGGTGCACTCTCCAAAGGATCAAAGTCCCTTACCTCATTCAGTCGTGAAGATCAAAAGAAAATTTACACAGATTCTCCTCTAAAGGCCGCTTCTGCCACCAAGCACACAGTTTCCTCTTATACAAGTAATGACACAACAGAACAAGACACACAGCGCAGTCCTCCCCAGTCAGTGTCACAACAGCCAGGCGTTGAAGCAAAACCCCATGCCACGGAGCCTTCCTCTGTTATACCTGATACATCTGCAACAGCCTTCCTGGAAACAGCAAAGGAAGAATTTGAGCCTGAATCTGATTCACAAGAAATTGTAACTTCAGAGCTTGAATCTCTAGCCTCACCACCGTTATTAGACGAGGTAAAGAAGGAAGATGTGTATTCTGCCGACCATTCTGTTTCACTGGAGGCAGAGAAGGGTTCTCTGGAAACAGGTCCACCAGGTCTGGCAGCATCTGTCCAGGAAGATTTTGGTCCAGAGAGAGAAGAGTTAGACCTGACTTCACTAGAAAGGGCAGAACCAGACTCTGAACAACAGACCCCTCCTCAGTTCGATGTCAAAGGAGAGAAGGAAGAAAATGTGCTCGAACCACCCAGTTCTCTTTCTGAACCTTTAGGGCCAGAGAAAGAAGACATAGAAACTTCTCTACCGATAGCTGCTACCCCTGAACCTGAAGATTCTAATTTAGTGGAAGAAGAGATCATAGAAATTGATTACCCAGAAAGTCCACCTGTTTCCAAGAAGTCCTTCCCACCACGTTTGGCCCCTGAAGTGGAGGAGAAGGAAGAGGAGACCATGCTACCAATACCGACATCAACACCTGAACATATTGCTTTGTCTGAGGAAGAAAGAGAGGAAAGTGAGTCTGTTTCTACTGATTCTGCTTTTGTATCAGAGTATTCAGTCCCACAGAGTATGAACCAGGAACTAGAAAAGCAAGAAGTTGAACCAGTTTCTCAATCCAATGTAGAAGCTGCATCTGAGCACACAATTTTGTCAGAGGAGGAGAATGAGGGATTTGAGCCTTATTCCCCAACTCTGGCCTCTGCATCTGAGCGCTCTCTCTCACCATCTATAACCGAGAAGTCTTCTGAATGCCAATCCCCACTGTTTTCCTCAGCTACAATGGAAAACACGGCCCTGTCCAGAGAAGAGGCCCCAGAAAGTGGGCGTTACACACCAGATTCCACATCTGCTTCTGAATACTCAATTCTATCACAGGCAACAAAAGAGTCACTGAAGAACATCGACCATGAGTCCCCACTAAAATCCAAAGGTGTTTCTGAGCACAAGATTCTGTCAGAAGAAGAGAAGGAAGGCACTGGGGCATATTCCCCAGACGAGGCCTCTGTGGCTGAACACTCTCTTCCCCCATGCACGACTGAGATGACTTCTGAATACCAAGCCCCTCCTTCAGCCACCCCATCTGAACATGTGGTCCCATCAGAAGAGGACCTAGGAAGTGAGCGTTTCATGCCAGATTCAACACTGAATCCCCAATATGCAGTTCCACCAAATGTAGCTCAGGAATTCCCAAAGAAAACAATTGATAATGTGTCCCTCTTAGAATCAAAAGGTGTTTCTGAGCACATGATTCTGTCAGAAGAAGAGAAGGAAGACACTGACGTGTATTCCCCAGACGAGGCCTCTGTGGCTGAACACTCTCTCCCCCCAAGCACAACTGAGATGAAACCTGAATATCAAGCCCCACCGTCAGCCACCCCATCTGAACATGCGGTCCCCTCAGAAGAGGAGACAGTAGAAGTGGAGCGCTATACCCCCTCTTCCACCTCTGCTTCTGAATTTTCAGTACCACCATATGCAACACCTGAATCACAGGAGAAAGAAATTGTCCACAGATCCCCTTTAAATCGAAAAGGTGCCTCCTCACCCATGAGTTATTCAGAAGAAGAGCAAGAAGACATTGGACCTTTTTCTCCAGACTCTGCATTCGCATCAGAGTTCTCATTCCCACCCTATGCAACCCAGGGATCAGAGAAAAGAGAATCTGAGTGTGATTCCCCAATATGTTTAACATCACCATCGGACCACACTATTTTGTCAGATGAAGACACTGAAGAAGCTGAACTTTTTTCTCCAGACTCAACATCACAAGTTTCAGTCCCACCATATAGAATCCCAGAAACAAAGAAAAATGAAATCGAACCTGATTCACTGTTAACTGCGGCATCTGCTTCAGGATATTCCTGCTTTTCAGAAGCAGATGAGGAAGAAATTGAACCAACAGCTGCTACACCGGTACCTGAGCATCTCAGTTCATCACAGAAGCAACAAGCTGAACCTTCCCCTCCCAGGTCTGCACCTGGAGACTTGAGTCTGCCACCTGCAACAAATAAGGCAGAAGAAGCAGATGCTGAAACAATCTCAATATCTGTATCTGAATATCTCATTTCAGCACAAAGACAGGTAACTCAAGCATTTGTAGAACCTGAGTCTGAAGATTTGATTCCGCCATCTTCAGCCAGTGAATCGGAGAAGGGAGAAATTAAGACTAGTTCATCAGGAGCTGCAACACCTGTTTCTTTACCCGCACACTCATCCACGGTAAAGGAAGAAACTGAACCTGTTTCACCTGCATCTCAGTATTCAGTTTCACCTGATTCAGTCCACGCACTTAAGAAGGAACAAGAACCCAAAGCATCGCTCACTCCAAAAGCTGCAAATGAACAGATGGGTTTGTTAAAAGTTAAAAGTAAGAAAGAAATTGTGCCTGATTCTCAAGAAGCTGCAGCACATGTATCACAGGATCAAGAAATGGAGCCTCAGCCTCCAAATGTTCCAGGGTCTGGAGAGAAATATTCAGTTCTGTCTGACTTGGTAGATGAGCCAAAGAAGGATGTCAAATTCAATTTAGCTCCAACTGTGACATCTGAACTGGAACAGAGACTGTTGTCAGAGAATGAGCTTGAAGTAATAAAACCATATTCACCTCTCAAGGAAACATTTTTATCAGGACCTGAGGTTTTATCAGAAGTGAAAACAGAAGTGAAACGTGATTCCGCGATAACTGGTGCACCTGGAGTGCTGCATCCAGCGTCACCAGGAGTGGACAAGGAGGTTGGACGTGGGCCATCTGCACCGGGATTTTCAGCATTGTCAGAAGACATGAAGAAAGAAATTGAACCCAGTTCTCTAGTAACCACGACCTCTGTAGCTAAGCACGATTCAAACTTAACCAAATTAGCAAAAGATGAAAACCCAACAGAGTTATCTCTTACCAGCCCTATAGAACAACCAGTCTTAAAAGTAGGAAAGAGTGAATTCGGAAGTGGTTTGCCACCAATGGTAACATCTGTGGATGAGGATATACTTCTTAAAGAAGAAGAAAAGGTAGCAATTAAAGCTACCTCTTCTCCCCTTGAAGCTGCTGAATCCAAACATCCAACTTGGTCAGAAGCAAAGAAGGAAATTAAACTGGATTCACCTCCAGGAAAACTCTCTATATCGGAACATTCTATTTTGTCAAAGATGGAAACTGAAGAAATAAAACCTGGGCTGCCAGTAACCAAAACAGTGTTGTCTCGGCATGCAGATGGAGCTAAGGAAGCAAGGGTGGAAAATGAACAAGGTCTTTCATTTTCTACAGAACTTGACTCTGAACATTTGGCTCTATCACAGAAAAAGAATTCTGTGTCTGCCGCAGAGGTGTCAGGGTCCGAACGTGTGCTTCCGGTCAACCTAGGCGATGAGATAAAGAAAAAAGAAGCTGAACTTCCTTTCTCACAAAACGTGTCATCTGAACCCAAACATGTAGTTCCAAAAGGCAAAACTGAGAAAATGGTATATTCTTCTCCCGAGATGGAAACGTTAGTGTCAGGAGATTTAGCTCCAACATTACCAGCGCTCAGTGATACGAAGAGCCAACAGGCCATGGAGACATCTTCCACAGCTCAGGGAGACTTCCCGCCAGGAAAACCAGGTCTTTCCCTGGCAGAGGTCTCTTTGGAACCTGAGAAGAGAGATACACCACACCAAGCATCACAATTACCAAATGCTGGGTTGGAATTCTCTGGTGGTTTAGGTAGGCAAGGTGGATCTGCAGACACAAAACAAACAAAATCACCCATAACTGAAACAGGGGATTCTGTCTTAGAAAAGGGCTTTGCTGAGCTTAGGAGCAGAGGAGAAGGAGAAGAAAACAGGGAACTCCATGTGTCAACCACAGTGCCTGAAATTTCCGAGGTTTCGTCATGCCTTAGGGAGGAACCTCAGAACCAAGAAATTAAGTCTATCTCTCCTAATGTGGTCAGTGTAAGGTCAAAAGAAGCATTTACCTCTCTGGTTGAAGGAGATAACCCAGAAAAGTTTCAGCCATATACTTTTACTTTAAAAGAATTATCAGAAGAGGTGAACCATTCAGCTGACTTAAAAAAGGGGGAAAAACAAGAAATAAGCTCATTACTGCCAATAGGAAATGTGAAGGCAGAAGGGACAGGAGATTCTGTAACTATACTAAAAGAAGAGACAGACCGAACAAATGCATTCCCTGTACCCCAGAGTACAACCAAACCATCAAAGATAGCTCCTTCTGACCGCCTGGTGGAACAAGAGGAGCCTGAAAACACACTTCACTCAGACCAGGCTGTTAAGTTACCTGATGTAAGCACATCTTTCGTGGGTAAACAAGATTTGGGTATTAAGCAGCTTACAATTATGAAAGAGAATTTGCCTTTGGAAGAATCAAAATCATTTTTGACAACGGAGCCTGCAGATGTTAAAGAAACACACATGGAAGAGGCCCTTATTTCTCCAGAGGATGAAAACTGGATGCTGGAAAAGCCAGGAAGAGATTTGGCAAGTCATCGTGAAGAAAGAGTACTGGGACCTGTGCAGCTGGGTTCCTCCAGCAGCGATGATCTGGTGACAGGGCAGCTCAAGGCTGCTCTGTCGAATAAAGACCATACACATGAAATTGGAAAGCAGGTTCTGCCACATTCTGCCGAAGAATCTCATTTATCATTACAAGAACCAGTATCTACTCATGATATCCCCCATGGTAATGTGGAGATCTTATCAACTAGAATATCTTCTGAAGAAATAAAGCTGGCCCCCAAACCAAAATCTTTAGTTCCAGCTGGAAATGTAGAGAGAAACAAAGCAGAGGGGAAGCAGGTCTTTTCTTTCATGACGAGTGAAAGTTCAGTATTGGAGAAAGCAAACGCAGAATTGCCCAGGCCTTGCAAAGAAGACAGCCAGGAAGGAGTCCACCTGCCTTCTGAAAGAATCCTCCAGAAACCAGTGCCTGGCCCATCAGTGGAACAGGTCAAATCAGCAACTATCCCCTCTCCTGCCAAAGCAGCTCCTTTCCTGGCAGAAGATGCAGAGCCTGCAATGGGAAGTAAGAAGGAAGCACACAGGAGTATATCTCCTTTACCCGGAGAGAAGCCATTAGAAGAATCAAAAATGGTTCAGTCAAAGGTTGTAGATGATGCTAACGAGAGAGGGAAACCAACATCTGGAACGGAAATACCCACCCAAATAAAACCCTCAATCCGTGAAAATAAAGAACCTCAACCCCCAGAACCTCCTGAGGTGACACAAAAGCTGCCCGAGCAGCCAAAGGCAGTCCAACCAGGCATTTCGGAGGAAAAGAAAAAGAAGGGAATTTCATCTTTCACATCATGGATGTCCAATTTGTTTTTTAAATCAAGCACTCCAGGTAACAAAGTTGCGGAAAAGGAAGTTTCAGAAATTCAGTCAGGTCCATCTGTAGAAAAAGCAGTGTCTGTGACAGAGCCTCAGGGTCCAGCTCCAGCTGACTTAAGTGCAGCCGAGGAACCAGGTGATCATCTGCTACCAGAGGCAAAACTCATGATTGCTGAAGACTCCAGAGGTCCTTTAGTTAAATCCGGTGAAGGTCAAGACTTTAAAGAAAAACCTACACTTTTATCAAATGTAGAAGTTTTACAGCAGCCAAAATCCAATTTTGAGGTGTCCAGTGACGATCATGGGAAGAAAGAAATCTTAGATGAGTCAGAGGAAATGGACCTAAACTCAGTAGTTACTCCTGCTGATGGTGAGGAACATTTTGGAGTTCAACCTTATTCCCCTATGGGTGAGAAATCCATTGTGGAAGAAGCCAAAAATGTTGTTCCTCTTCATGTCACTGATAGTAAAAGAGCCCAGAAGCCAGAAATCTCTTCTCCATCTAAATGGAATATTTCTATTCTTAATGAAGAGCCAAGAAGTGATCAAAAAGAAAACTCACGCTTTTCATCTGATGCAGTAGATAAGGTGTCACAACAGCCCAAATCAGCTTCATCTAGAGTCACAAGTAAAAATGTCATGAGGGAATCAGAGAAGCCAGAGTCAATGATTTTGCCAGTGGAAGAATCGAAAGGCAGTTTAATTGATCTTGGTGAAGACAGACTGAAGAAAGAAATGCCAAAACCTACTTCCTTCAAAATTTCTGAAGGGGAAGTAAAACTCAGGTCTGTTAGCCTAACTGAGGAGAAAGATAACTTGGAAATCAGATCACATTCCTTGGCAGGAAAGAAAGTGCTGGCAGAAAAACAAGAAACTGTGGCCCCATTAGAGTTAAGAGATAATAATGAAATAGGAAAGGTACCAATTACACAGGGATATTACCCTGTTGAACTGGAAGAATCAAAAACTGCTGCTGTGCTGCAGCAAGTCTATCAAAAGGAAGACCACAAAGAAAGACACAAAATGACTGAGGAGGAGAAACGAAGAGAAAAAGAAAAGCAGCTGCAAGTATTTGACCACTCTTTTCCTAAGGAAGAAAATCGGGTATTGGAAAAATCAAGCAGGGATATGGCAAGTCATGAAGAAAAGGGACAGGTCTCAGTGTCAGAGATGTCAAAAGGTGGTTCAGTAGATATCACAAAAGATAGTATAAAACAAGGATCTCCATCTAAAGAACCTGAAAGGATTTTAGACCAAACTTTGGATGAAGCAAAGAGCTTAGAAACACCACCATATTTGTTGTCATCTGTGAAACTACAAACACTTGTTTCAGAGGCTTCTCCAGAAATTAGTCCAGTGAAGAAACAAGAATTGACTCCAGATAGGCCTACAGTCCATACTATTCAAACATCTAAAGAGCAAACATTCGAAATGTCTAAACAATCTGTACTTGTTTCCAAGCACCACTTGGAGGCTGTGGGAGCTGCCCAAGTAAATGAACCACACTCTCCAGCAAGCAGCAACTATGCTCAATTTATAAAAAATGCATCAGCAACCAATGCCAATAAAGTTGTTTCTACTAGAGAAATATCCAAGGAACCTGGAGATGAGGAATTTACAATGACTAGTAAGCCAGCTGGACTTTCAGAAGATCAGAAGAGTGCCTTCAGTATCATTTCTGAAGGCTGCGAAATACTGAATATTCATGCTCCTGCATTTATATATTCAGTTGATCAGGAAGAAAGTGAACAAATGCAAGTGAAGTTAGAATATTTGGAAGAAAAGGCCTCACGTAAAACTCTACCCTCCCCTGGTGATAGTGAGGCAGTTGCTTGCCATAAAACATTAAAGAGTACGTTAGAAGATTCTGATAAAAAAGGTCCATCATTGAAAGAAAATAAACAAAAGGAAACTCATAAAACAAAAGAGATATCCACAGATTCAGAAATTGGCGATTTACCCTTTAATCAGCCCACAGTTCCTGGTGAAGAGGATTATTTTGAAAAATATACATTGATTGATTATAACATCTCCCCAGACCCCGAAAAACAGAAAGCTCCAGGGAAATTAAATATTGAGGCAAAACGCTCAAAGGAAGATACAGCAGAAACTAGCCCTTTCCCAGAAAGTTCAGAGGAAAGTGCCCTAGAACATGAATATGACTTGGTGAAATTAGATGAAAGTTTTTATGGACTGGAAAAAGACGACAGCAAATTATCTCATCCAGAGACCCAAAAGTCTTTGGTTATCCAAAAATCAGCGGACGGAGATGTTTTGAAGAGCAAAAATAGAGATGTGGGCTCAAAGTCACCTGGGATGCCTTTATTTGATATAGAGGAAGGAGTTTTGTCACGAACCCCGATATTTCCTACCACTGCGAAAGCCATTAACCCCGAACTTCTGGAGGAACCACCTGCACTTGCATTTTTATACAAGGATCTGTATGAAGAAGCAGTTGGAGGGAAAAAGAAGGAAGGAGATACAGCTTCTGAAGGTGACAGTGTGAATTCTGAGGCATCATTTCCAGGCAGAAAGTCTGACACTGACGAAGGAACAGGGATATATTTTGAGAAGTACATACTCAAAGATGACATTCTTCATGACACATCTGTAACTGAAAAGGACCAAGGCCAAGGTCTGGAAGAAAAACCAGTTGGTAAGGATGATTCATACAAACCAATAGCACCAGAAAGGAAAGTTAGGGGGAGGTTTGGCACTATTTGGGGAGAAAAGAGTCTGGAAGAGGAACAGAAAGTTGCTCACAGGGAAGAAGAGTCAGTGGGCCATGTGGAGACCCTTGACATTGTAGCTACACAGAGGAAAGCTCCCATCACGGAGGAAGTCAAAGTGGTTACCCAGAAGATAAGCTATGCGATTCCGTTTGAAGACACCACTCATGTTCTGGAGAGAGTAGAAGACACAAGCACTCAGAGCAGTGAAGCAGCAAATGCAAATCCAGAGGTCCATCTAAATGTCCCAGTACAAGTGTCCTTCCCAGAGGAAGAATTTGCATCTGGCACAGCTTGTGCTCAAGAAACACTGCAAGTAGAACCTATAGCAATGGGCCCACCCGAGCCAGGTGAGGATAGGCTCCGCAGTAGTCCTGTTCAGGATGAATATGAATTTGCTGAATCCCTGAATTATGAAGTAGTTACTCAAGACACCCTATCAGAAGAACTGTATTCAGAATCCACCCCTGAAGAAGTGTTATCTCAGGGAAAGGAGTCCTTTGAACACATAAGTGGAAATGAATTTGTGAGTGAGGTGGAACAAAGTATGTCTGCTGAACAGAAAGAGTTGGGCAGAGAGAGGACAGAAGACCAATTATCATTAGAGTTAGTAACTGAGAAGGAGCAACAGGAACCGAAAAAGTCCCAGATTGACATGTACTGCTATACTTGCAAAAGCCCAGTTTCTGCTGTTGACAAGATATTTGGCACCCACAAAGACCATGAGGTTTCAACGCTTGACACAGCTATAAGTGCTGTAAAGGTAAATAGATGTTAAAGCATATAAGTATGTAATAATAAATACAGGGGTGGGGAAAAGTAGGTTTAGAGTTGTGAGTACACAAAACCTGAGTTTATTCTTATGTTCTTATTTATTATTGTATTATTTATTTGTATTAGAACTGTAAACCTAGTTTGCCCACCCTGTGTACATTTAATTTGTTTTCCTATTTTCTCAATTGAAAAAAATGATCAATATTTAATACATTCATCTTTAGGCGTAACTGTTAGTCTGAAAGAAAACTAAGAACATTTCCCTAGGCATTTAGTTAAGACCAGCTGACAAACATTTATTATGTATACACTATGTGCCAAGTATTTTTCTGAGGATGCCAGGGTAAATAACACAGGGTCACGCCTTTCAGGGTCTTATCTTATGGTGGTAGCCCTTGACATTACCCAAAAAACCCCAAATAATTTTAAATTAAAAAATATACTTTTGAGCATAAAACAACTTATTTTCTATTACCTACAATATTATCCTTTAAAATACGCATTTACAGTACATTGAGAAATTCTACTACAAGTTTTATAAAATAAGAGGAAGACATTTAAAATTTTGGTTTTCTCCATATTTCCTCTTTATTTATCAAATTGATGTTAGAAATGGAAAACCTTTTCATTCTTTTCTGGCTATGTCTATAGACTCCTGATGTTAAAAAGTTAGTCACAATACATATACTTATGTATGTGGCTATAAATAGTCCATTTCCCCAGAGACACTACTGGAAATCAATTGTTTAGTCTTTGAGATTCCCAGCTACCTTTTTTTTTTTTTAATCCTCACCTGAGTGCATTTTTGCATGTATCTTCAGATAGAGTGGGAGAGAAGGAGGAAGAGAGAGAGAGAAACATCGATGTCAGAGAGACACATCGAGTGGTTGCCACCCACACAACCCCACCAGGACGGGGACAAACTGCAACCGAGGTGCGTGCCCTTAGCAGGAACTGAACCCAGGTCTCTCTGGTGCGTGGGCCAACACTCCAACCGCTGAGCCAAACTGGCCAGGGCGAGATTTCCAGCTACCTTTGAATAGCCTTCTAACTGGAATCTGCCCTACAGTAGCCAGAATGATCTAAAAATGTAAGTAATAATAAGAATTGAACACTTATTCTGTGCCAGGCACTGTGTTCTTTATATACAAAACATCATCAATGTGCAGATCATGAAATGACCTCAGATAGTTTAAGTGACCGGCCCAGTGTCATGGAAGACAGAACTAGAATTGGTACCCAGGTCTGTCTGGTGCCAGAGTTCACGCTCTTGGCTATATGTCCATGTTGCTGGGCTCAGCAACTTCCTAATGGTAACAATTTTCAATATGATTATTCAACTAAGTCACCGTTAAATAACTTCCAGGCTTATTTGATCCAATAAGATAATATATTAGAATCTTGGCTTTTTTGGTTTGTTTGTTTCACTAGAAAATTAATTCTTCTCAACTTGTCTGATATTGGTTCTATTCCTTTGGAATGAAATTTTGTGGAAACTTCGCCTGGTAAAGTCTGAGGGTAGGGGATGGAGCAATTTCTTTTATGAAATCTCAGGCATTGGATGTATTAGCAGCATGGATACATGCTCCATTCTTTGATGACACTTGGCTTTGATAACTAACCTCTACTGGGTACTGTCATCAGAAAGACAACTAGATGTTTTTTCTGTCTTCTTAATTATGTTTTGTTTATCTCTATGAGTTTTAGAAATTAAAAAATTATTCTGTTAAAATATTCTCAATTTAAAACAAATTTTGAAGCAGGGAGATGTGCTGTCTTCTGCTTTAAAACCATTTTAAAGTTTTTTTCCCTGATCCTTCCAAGCAGTGTGAGAATGTAGAAAGCCAGTTGACTAAAGCCAGGGAGGCTTCTGTGTTTCATTAAATCAACTGTGAAGAAGAAGAGTTGGTTGGCAACTTTTAAACATTAAAAATCCATTTAAAAAGTTGTAACTTGAGTGTCCTCTAGCATCTTGTCAGTAGGCCATTTGTGATTATTCAGGAACTGAGAGTTGCATTTACAGATGAGCCAGGTTCTTGCTCCCCACACCCCCACCTTTATCCCCATTGTAGTGGCTGATCTTTTGTTTGTCACTTATTTTTCTTTCTTCACTCTCTCCCTTCTTCTCAACATTTATTGACCTCCCATTCCATGTCAGGAACTTTGCGAATCATTGGGAATGAAAACAAAAATAAAGGAAGATGGATTTGTAGCTCCCCTAAATCAGTATAGCATCCTGATGAACAGGCGTTTGTGAGTGAGTGAAGTGACGAGTGGCACTGGGAGGGTACGGGAGGTGTCTTGAAAAGGGAAGCGTGGATGAGCCTTAAATAAGATAGAGTTCCATTAGCAAGCAAGGGCAGGGAGGTCATTCTCGATATAGGGAATACCATATAAAAAGGCACACAGGTGAGAAGAAGTCCAAGGAAAGGTGGGGTTTGTGTGATTGGAGCCTGAGGGCTTATGGAGAAGAGGCAGGCCTGGAGAGGGTCAGAGGCCAGATCCTGAAGGGGCTTCCATCAGTGTCATTTCTCCACTATCCTGTGATGAATCAGGCAGCTGAAGCCCTGTTATTCTCTGTTGTTACTTGTTAAGTTTAGCAGGATAGAGTACAGCTAAGGTTGTAACTACAGCTAAAGTAGGTACCATCTTCCCCCATCACCCGTGCATTTTCTACTTGGCTGTCACCCCTTGAGTATTTGAACGCCTTGAGGATCATTGGAGCCTTTAGGTCTCTTTAGTAGGTAGTTTTCATCAGTTGTTATGCTAGGCTTCTGGCTGGGCGACACTCTGATCACCTCTCAGGCTCAGGTGCTCCAGGCTCACCCGAGGCCATTGGCACAAATGTGAGGAGACTACTCACGTATGTTGGACCAATACAGCAAAAACCCTGTTACTAGAGGAAAGACAATATATAAACATTGAGGCCTTATTGGAGAAAGAATTCAAATCCGTAGCCCACTAAAAAGTATTCTTTGAACTTACCAAGAAGTCCTTCCTTTTATATGAGAAAATACATTGTCTTTGTGTTGTTCTCACTCACAAACCTCCTAATAGTTTATCATACAGAATTATTTATAGTCGATTTAGATGAAGCAGCAAAGAAAATTTAAAAACTGATTTGTTAGTGAACATAGTATAGTAAATCTCTACCAAACATACTAAATTTATAAAGAAATTGGACCTCACTGCTTGAAGTTCTTTTCTCAAATGTCATATACTAAAACACACACAATGTTAAAGAGAGAAAAAAGAAAACAATAAAATACCATGTACTAAGGATATCTTAATTCTTTTCTTCAGGTTCAATTAGCAGAATTTCTAGAAAATTTACAAGAAAAGTCCTTGAGGATTGAAGCCTTTGTTAGTGAGATAGAATCCTTTTTTAATACTATTGAGGTAAGTTCTCATATTCCTTTCCCTTTTACCTGGTTTGTTAATAACATCACAAGTAAATGATTCTGATCTAAAAGAATTTGAATTGGGGTTTGTGTGTGCATGTGTGTTTATCATTGTTGATTTTGTTCCATTAAAAGTGATAGTCCTTAAGTCTTCCATCTGTGTGTAATCAGTTGAGACTACTTTCTCTCTAAAGGTAAATGACTAGCCCTTAAAAACACATAGACATTTATTTGGCACTTACTATAATAAGGCAAATTCTTTTTTTGTTTTGTTTTGTTTTATTTTTATTTATTTTATTTTATTATTTTTTATTAATTAATTAATTTTTGTTACAGATGTTTCTCCTTTTCCCCCCACTGATTCCCCCTTCCCCCTCCCTCCCCGCCCTGTCCGCAGCTTTGCTGTCCATGTCCATTGTTCATGCATACATGCATATAAGTTCTGTGGTTTATCTCTTCCCTCCCCACCACCCCTTCTTCTGAGGGTTGTAAGTCTGTACCCTACTTCCACGTCTCTGGGACTACCCTGTTCCTCAGATTGTTATGTTCATTACATTCCACAAATAAGTGGATCATGTGATATTTGTCTTTCTCTGCTTAGCTTATTTCACTTAGGATAATACGCTCCAGGTCCCTCCATGCCATCTCAAAGGATAAGAGATCTTTCTTTCTTACAGCTGCATAGTACTCCGTTGTGTATATGCACCACTGCTTTTTGATCCATTCGCCTACTGATGGATACTTGGGCTGTTTCCAGATCTTAGCTATTGTAAATAGTGCTGCTATGAACATGTGGTACATATATTCTTTCTGATTGGTATTTCAGGCTTCTTAGGGTATATTCCTAGAAGTGGAATCACTGGGTCAAATGGAAGTTCAATTTTTAATTTTTTGAGTTAACACCATAGTATTTTCCATAATGGCTGCACCAGTCTGCATTCCTACCAGCAGTGTACTAGAGTCCCCTTTTCTCCACACCCTGGAATAAGGCAAATTCTTTACATGCTTATTTAATTGAATCCTCATAACAACCGTATGAGATAGGTGTTATTATTGTCCCCATCTTATGGATAAAGCTGAGACTTAGAATTAAGTATATTACTCAAGGTCATATGTTGAGAGACAAGATTTGAATTCAGGTCTGGGTTCTTGTCCCACCATCCTGTCTTTTACAGGGTTATCTCTTCAGAAATGCTCTAACAGTGTCCCATGCCCAGACAAACCAGTGTTTCTCATGGTACCATTGTCTTGGATGAGTTCACGCCCTCCTAGCTGCTGGCCCCTGCTCCCTCTGAAGTGAAGGGAGGGCGTAGCAGCGCTCCATCCTTACATAGAGGTGGCCCAGGCATCCTCACTTGTCAATCAGGAGTGGCAGAGGTCCCCTGCAGAAGGCTAGTGCAATTTCCCTATCACTAGAGCAACTCAACATCCTAGTTTGCTTGTGAGAGGTCTGCTTAACTTCAGTTATAGCTCAATTCATACCAGCTAATTATTTTTAGTACCCCCCACCAAAATGTTCCTTCTAGACAGTAAATTAGATGATCACCTTATCACTGGCCCTCTAGTGAGGACAGCCAGGCATTTGGGTTTGTCTAGATGGGCTCAAGTTTCTCCTGTGGAGGAAGCTTCCCTCTCCCTGGAGAGCATTTATGAGTGTAGCAGCCTGTCCAGTACCCTGGCTGCGCCTTCCTCTCACTGTGATGCCCTTTTTTCAAGTTTTTTTTGTGTTTTAATCCACACCTGAGGATATCTCTCCATTGATTTTTAGATAGTGGAGGGTGGGGGGAGAGAGAGAAACATCAATGTAAGAAAGACACCATTAATTGGTTGCCTCCTGCACGACCCCGACCAGGGCTGCGGGTCAAACTTGCAACTGAGGTATGTGCCCTTGACCAGGAATTGAACCCAAGACTCTTCAGTCTGTAGGCTGACACTCCAATCTCTGAGCCAAACCAGCCAGGGCCCTTTTTTTCAAGTTTTATCATGTGGAAATGCTGGTAGGAAAGACTTCCATGCAAATATCTTTTGTGTTTTCATTAACTAAATCTTTCTTGATGATGCTCTTACAGTGAATTCTATTACAAAGCTAACTACGTCAAAAGGGGGTTGGTGGGATGGAAATTTAGACCATGTACATAAGGTTCTCTTATCGGATGCCAGAGGTCAATTCTTCAAAGAGCTGGTGTTTCTCTTAAAAAAAAAAGGACATGTACTTCTCATTTCATTCAGATTTTTTTTTCTTTTGTTTTAGGAAAATTGTACTAAAAATGAGAAAAAGCTAGAAGAACAGAATGAGGAAATGATGAAGAAGGTTTTAGCACAGTATGATGAGAAAGCCCAGAGCTTTGAGGAAGTGAAGAAGAAGAAGATGGAGTTCCTGCATGACCAGATGGTCCACTTTCTGCAGAGCATGGATGCTGCCAAGGACACCCTGGAGACCATCGTGAGAGAAGCAGAGGAACTCGACGAGACCGTTTTCCTGACTGTGAGCACCCTTAGAACAGGCCCAAGCACCTTACACCCACTCTGGCCCAAGTCTACTTTAAACATTTTATTTTTCAATGTTCCCCTAAGATCATTTATATACCTGTGTTTTTGTTTGTTTTTAAAATAATTTTGACATTTAAAAATTATTGGGGCATGCCTGAAACCTATGGAAAAGGCCAGCATATTCCTAGCACCAGATCCAGCTCCAGTATACGTGGCAGCCAGGGCACAGCATCATCTGTTTTATCGCAATGGATTTGTTACCTTGTAAGAGGGAGGAGGAAAAGCAGCCTGAGAACCTTTCTCATACCACGCCCCCTTTGGGGGCTTGGCATCGTCACGCTGGCCCCTGGGCCTGTCCTCTCCACCTCATTCCCTAATCTGAAGTGACCTCTTGTAGGGACCATTCCCTCTGAGCCTCACCAAGTGGCCGAGAGTAACATTTGGTACACTTTCAGCATACAAAGGGATGACGTACTGTGATACTTCTCTCAGGTAACATGTTGATGTTTTTAGAAGGGTCTTCCTGGGGACCAGATTGCTTAATTCAAACTAGTACCTTATGGACCAAGATTACCTTGGGTGTTCCTCAAGCTGTACCACAGAGGCAGCCCTTTGCTCTCCTAATTCCCTGGAACATCCAGTAAGATACTGGTTCTCCATGGAGCCAGGATTAACCAGGAGTGATGGAAATATCTTCCTTGAGGGCAGTCCCAAAACTAATAATCAAACCACAGGAAAGCACCATCTTTTGATGAGTAGGGAACCTACCTTTCAAAGCTCCCTGGACCACCAGACCCTCTAGCAAGGCAAAATGGGTCAATGTTAGGCTTTTCATTTGCCTTTGGGGATACCTCCAGCCAGAGTAAATTTAGGTGAGGAGGACATGGCATCCTCAAACAAAATGAAAGTCATTCAGTTGCTTTATGTTTAATTATGGCAAAGCTTTAATATTTTAAAATTAGGTACCTCTTGTGAAGTATAATATTAATAAAGTGCTTTGTGTTCCCTAAGAACCTTACTTTTGTTTGAAAAGAATATTTTCTTCTCTCTAGAAGAACAAATTGTAAACAAGAAAGCATTGTTGTTGTTGTTTTTCTGCTTATAAAAGCAAAATATATCTATTTTAGGAAATTTGGAAAAGACAGAAAAGCACAGAGAAGGTATCACCTAGAGACGACTACTGATTATATTTTTGGGTATATATCCCACACTGAACAAATTTAAGGCATTTCTATTACTTCAGAGAATTCTATTCTGGGAGCCATTTGTTAATAAAGAGAGAAGCAAAGCATAAGCGCTCATTGCTGGCCTTGCTGATCATGGGGAGTTAGAGCGGGACTGGAAACTAAAGCCCCTGTATCCCCGTCCCCCCTCCCCCCCCCCCCCCCCGCCCTTCTGAGCACCAGTTTCCTTGCTGCCCCCGCTGAAGCCACCAGGGGAAGGTGAGGAGTAATGATTTTAGAACATGCATAACCTTAATGCTCTAGGTTGGTATTTTTTGTTGTTGTTAATTTCTCTCTCTCTCTCTCTCTCTCTCTCTCCCCCCCCACCCCTCCCTCTCATTCCCTCATAAGTCATTTGAGGAAATCAATGAAAGGTATATAAAACATGGCACAATGTAGTGGCACCTGAGAATAGCATGACTGCATTATTTTTAATATTTTGATGCTTTATAGAAAATGAGCTGCCAATTAAAAAATACATACATTTGGTGAGCTACTGGATGTTCACTTTTGGACACAGTGCATTTAAAAGCTAAATGACAGCTTTGAAAGAAAATTGCATGTGCTTTAGTTAAATAACAATTATCGTAATGTAGATTTTTAACTGCTTCCTTGAGATATATTCTGTCTTTTCAACCTAATCTAGATCATCTTTCCTGTCACTTCATACAGAACATTTTGTAGATACTTAGACTTATTAGTTAAATATGAGTATTTGAAAGAATCATTCATATCTGCCTTGAATAATTTTATAACTTAATGTAATTTTAATGGAATTTCTCTCGTTCTCTTCAAAAGATAGACATGCATTTATCTTCTCTCTGTGCTCAGCTAACCTAAACGAATCTTCCTTTTTTGATTTGTTTTGTTTTTGCTGTTGTTTTTAGCACTCAGTCTAAGAAAAATTCTTTATTCTTTTAAAAGTCAAAGTCAAAGCATTAACATGAAATTAGGAAATGTTGTCTATAAACACATCAGATCTGTGTTTATCTTTTGGAGCCTCTGATACTGAAATGCTTTTACCAATCTGACAATTTTCCCTTTTGTCTCATAGCGAGACATGAGGTCTTTCCTACTGGTTGAGCCTAATACTTTTATCTTTTTTACCCCTTTAATGTAAATTTCTAATCTTGTAAATATTATCTTCAGTTTACCTCAATGCCAGATTGTGAACTATCATAAAGTAAAATCAGAAATTTGTATTTGTGTTATGTTAAAATATGGGAAAATGGGTTTGGATTAGAAACCTCATTTTTCAGATAATAAAAGCAGTACAGATAAACTTATTTATCTTTCAAAGAATCTATTTAATGGAATATTGCCAATACATTTTAAGGAAATAATATGTATATTAACATTGGCATTAATCAATGAGGGTTTTATTACAGTGGCTCTGTTACAAATAGAACCACCTAGGGAGCTTTAAAAATGCTGATGCCTGAATCTTATCTCCTGAGAGTCTGGTTTAATTGGTCTGAGGTATAGCCTGGGCATTTTTAAAGCTTCCAGGGTGATGTTAATGCATAGCCAGAGTTGAGAACCTCTGGTTTATAACAATCAGACTGACTGTGCCTAAATTAGCTGTGCAGCTTGTTAAGCCAGAGCTCCTGCAGCCCCACCCCAGGTCCACTGCATGGGATCTGGGGTGGGCCTAGGCATCTGCATATTTACCATTTCTCAAGCAGGCAGGTCTAGAGAGTGATATCCAGGCCTTGTTCCCAGTTTCCTTTGTTTTTAAAAACTTATACATTTCTTCTACATACTATTTATTGATATTTATTTTTATCCAAAAAGTATGTGGATTTACAATACCATCCTTTATACTGGACAGTGTTGATAATGTTTGCTTATTTATATTTCACCCACTCATGGAAGGCACTGATTGGTAGGAACATTTGGTGAATGAAAATTTGCAAATGCTTTTACTGTAAAAAATGGCATAGTACATTTTTACTTTTGTAAACATTAGATTATTAACTTGCTAATATGAATTGACATCCATTTAATTATACATTCTATTTCTTTGATTTTGTGCTTGAACTTATCATCTGTGTGTCATTTTAATTAATCTTGATTTCATTGTCCAATAAACAATGAATTAACCTTTGCTAAAGCTGCATGTCACCCAAAGGAGGTTACACTTGGGATAACCATTGTTTTTCTGTAAAGAAAAAAAGCAAAAATTGGGATTTGGTAAAGAAATATGATCATGCACACGTGTGTATGCACAGGTGATAAAGCTGGATTGTGTCACTAAGAAGAAGCCTTTCATGTCCTCAAGGCAATTTCTACTTCAAGGTCTCAGTGTTACCGATATTCCTTTCTATGAGAGGTGCTAATTATCTAGCATTTTTTTTTTTTACCATGATGCTTTTCCTCCCTTTGTATCATATATTAAAGGCAGTACTTGTATAGTAAACAATTTTTCTCAGCACTGTAAGTACTTAAATTAAGAAATGTTGTCAAGCATATTTAGACTCAAAATTTACATATTTCGAAAAACACATGTGCTTAGAAAATGCTGTTCTGTTGAGAGGATGCATTCTTTTTCTCTGTTGTACTCTTTTGTGTTATAATGAAAAAGAGTTACAACCACCATAGGACGTGCTCATAAAAAGATATTCATCTGCCCTTTCTTACATTGATTTTAAAATTGGACAGGCCAGTGCATAAGGGAAAAAGCAAACATTTGACTTATAGTATCTACAGAGGTCTCGTGCTATAGGAGTCCTCCCTTTAGTTAACTGACATGTGTTGAGTGGCCTGAGTGCGCAGACTAGTCATCATCGCCTGTGAATCCCATCATTTCTCCCTCTGCATCCCCAAGGCCTTAATTTAGACTCATTATGTTTCCCTGGCCGGGAGTGCTGCGGGGTCCTCTCGACTGACCTCACTGCCTCCAGTCTGACAGCTGTGGTTCTCCCTCAGACTAGTGCCAGGGCATTCTTTTTTTTTTTTATCCTCACCCGAGGACATTTTTCGATATTTTGTTCAGATAGAGTGGGGGGTGGGGAGAGAGAGAGAGAGAAACATCGACATGAAAGGGACACATCGAGTGGTTGCCACCCACACCAGGGCAGGCGACAAACTGCAACCAAGGTACGAGCCCTTAGTGGGAACTGAACCTGAGTCTCTCCAGACCGCAGGCCGACACTCTAACCGCTGAGCCAAACCGGCCAGGGTGCCAGGGCATTCTTCTACACTTCCCTTTGTGAACGCTTCTGTGGCTCTTTCTTGGTGGATGTGAAAGCCTCTTCACAAACCACAAATCCCCTTTCTGTTTCATCTCTGTTTCCATTTCCTAATTCTCAAAGGAGCGCAGGATCGCCTCTGGCTCTTGAGTGTGCCATACTCTTTCCCAGCTCCATGCCTGTACCCGGGCTGTTCTGTCTTCAACCTCCTTCTCCTGGTTCTCCTGGGAAACTCCTCCTCCTTCTCTAAGACTCAGCCAGATGTCACCTCCTCTTTGAAGCCCCTTTAGAACCATCTCCCCTAAATCAAATTATAGCGAATTTCATTATTCCTAACACTAGTAAACAAAGTAGACACTCTTTAAATATTTCAATTATGTTTTATCATCTTTTCCCCTCACATTGATAAAATATTTACCAGACCTGAGATGCCACCCAAATAAAACTTTACCCTCTTACACATTCAAAGTATATTTATTCAATGCCTACCGTGTGCCAGATTATGCATTACGATACAGTAGGGGAAAAAACAAAGTCCTTTCCTGCATGTAGGTTATATTCTGGAAATAGACAGACAAAAACGAATAGGTCATGGCACGTTTGAGGAAGTAAACCACAGCAGAGTAAGGGACGGGCTAGGTACTGCGGCGTTCGGTGTGCTCAGGGCTGGCCTCTCTGAGCAGCTGCCATTAGAACAGAGAGCTAAATTAAGTGAGAAAGGAGCCATACAAGCAGCTAGGAGAAGAAAGCTCCAACAGCAAGTGCGAAGGCTGTGGCTCTGTGCTACGGCACCCGGAGTCCATGACGCTGAAGCCAGTGGAGTTCCTGGAAGCTGTTTCATCGCTGGAAGATAATTCCAGTCCTCTGAGAGGTGCACAGAGGAGAGCGCCTAACCGAAGTTGAGGCCCCTCGAGCTAAACATTAATCTTTTGCAATGTCTTTTTCCCTCTGCAGAATGGAGTTTTTTTGTGTGTGTTTTTTTTAAAGCTCAGGTTTCACCTAGTTAAAAATACTGAAAGTTAGTATTTGTTGATATCTTTCCTTAGAGGGTCTTGAATTTATAAAAGCTATTCGTTTATAAACTGTGGCTTTTTTATTCTTTTAAGAATGGATAGACCTTATCCTCCTCCAGTGCTGTGTTCGATACCCAGCACAGTGCCTGGCACATAGTAGGTGAACATATTTTTGAAAGACTAAATGACTAGAAACATAATAATGAAGGTTGAGAACATCAAAGACATCAAACAGTGTGTGAATTTCCAGACGTGCTCTGAACTTTTATATCATTAGGAAGTAAACAAAAATAATCATTAAAATGCTGTAATTTTTAGGACTAATTTTATAGATGCAAAATGAGAAAGTGTAAAATTTGATGGAATCTACTCAGATTTGAAGATATAGGAGTGGAATTTCTAATGTTAGCAATTATATAAAAAATATTAAGAATAAATAGATTTTAGGCATATATTTCTAGACTTTGAAACAGTTTAAATCCTTTTAGGATTCAATGCCTCACAAAAACTACCACCATCATCAACTTCATTTTCAGCAACTGTTTTAGCTTTCATTCTGTATGCTATTAATTTCTTGACTTACATAGAAATATTTTCCCCAAATAGGTTGCTTTCTGCAATGGAGAGTACTGCTTCTTTAGAGAAAATCCCTGCTGCATTTTCACTTTTCGAACATTATGATGACAGCTCGGCGAGAAGCGACCAGATGTTAAAACAAGTGGCTGGTAGGAATTGTAATATATTAAATGGCTTGATGAAATTGAGTGAGGTTTTCCTTGTTTGTGTTTGAATGTAAGGGAATATAACTGGAGAGCAGAAAATCTTCTTTGTGATCGTTTGAGGCCAGGTTCTGAAATAAAGCAGGAGACTAGCATGCCATTTCAGCTATAAACTGCATTTCCATTTGGAGCCTTACGACTGCGCTGGGATATTGAGGAGATGGGAGGATACAGCAGTGGAACCAAAAGGTCTCCTCTTATTTCCCTTTGTCAAATAGGATTTCTTTCCCTCTCTTCTACAGATTATTTGCTCCACATCAGCAGCCAGCTAGAGGAGGAGAAATAAATCAATTATTTTCATATGTATTGAAAAGTGTTTTCCTTATGAGTGGTTTTCCCCTCTTCAATTGAGTTCTTTTTCTTTTCTTTCTTTCTTTCTTTTATCTTTTTTTTTTAACTAAACAGATTAGCTTAGAAGCACTAACAGCTCAGCATCATGCTCTGTAGCCAGGAGCCTCCCACTCGGCTGTCAGAAGCATCTTGCCGGCTCTTCAAAATATTTTTTAATGTGCTATTTTAACAAACAGAACAATGAAACTTATTTAAATTTCTTAAAGCTGCCGTGTTTTAGTCAAGTTACTGAGTTTTACTCACTGTAATATGTACTCAGATGCTGTCCTTAAAAGATGCTACATTCTTTCAAAACCACCTTAAAGACAGCTGCAGTTTTTTAATTGACAAGTAACTTTCACTCCTATAAGATGAGTGTTAGTTTAATAATTGATAAAAGGCTCTGTGTCTTTAAAAAGACCTAAAACCCTACCAACTCTATATAAAATGAAAAATGCAGTCATTTATCCTAATGGATTTTCTGTAGAAATGTCTCAGAACAAAAGGGTACTTTCTTATAATGTCTTTAAGAGGCATTTAAACAGAGCAGTGATGGCAAACGAAGAAATTCTGATGAACAGAGTCGATCCTTTGCTTTTAAGGGATTTGTTATATGCTGTTGTTCATTTCAGATATTTTTTGAATACCTGGTGAGCAATGAGAGAACATTCTATATATTTTAGAGGTCACAGAGGTAAATTGTCATTTCGAAATTGTGCCTGTGGCAGTCCCAGTAATTCCCAGCTGTTTTGGGGAAACTGATCTCTAAGAGATCAGTTTTTTACTAGCTTTATTTCACTTACCATAATGTCTTCAAGGTTTATCCATGTTGTAACATGTGTCAGTATTTCCTTCCTTTTTAAGGCTGAATAATATTTTATTATAGGTCTATACTGCATTTTGCTTATCCATTCATCCATCAATGTACACGTGGGTTCCTTCCACCTTTTGGCTACTGTGGAGACTGCTGCTGTCCTGGGGACTTTTAAAATTAATTAATTAATTAATTAATCAAAACTTATCTTTATTATTGAATGTATTACAGATGTGTCCCCCCATTTTCCCCCACTGACTCCCCTCCTCCCCAATCCTGCCGCCCTCCTGCCTTCCCCACACTATTGTCTGTGTCCATTGGTTATGCATATATGCATAGAAGTTCTTTGGTTTATCTCATCCCATTTTCCCTCCTCCCTTCCCTTTGAGGTTCATCAGTCTAACAACCAATTTGTACTTCTTTTTATTTTTTAATTTTTTTGGTACGTGCCCCTAGCAGGAACCGAACCCAGGACTCTCTGGTCTACAAGCCAACTCTCCAACTGCTGAGCCAAACCTGCCAGGGCCAATTTGTACTTCTTCTTGTTCTTTGTTTTTTTTTTTATCCTCACCTGAGGACATTTTTCCATTTTTTGTTCAGATAGAGTGTGAGGGAGAGAGAGAGAGAAAAAAACATCGACATGAAAGGGACACATCCAGTGGTTGCCACCCGTATGACCCAACCAGGGCCGGGGACAAACTGCAACCGAGGGAACCGAACCTGAGTCTCTCTGGACCACAGACCGACACTCTAACCACTAAGCCAAACTGGCCAGGGCCAATTTGTACTTCTTAATTCCTTCATCTTCTTCACTCATCCTCCCAGCCCCTCCCCCCCAACTGGCAGGCAACAAAAAGTTCTCTATCTATGAGTCAGGTTTCTGTTCTGCTTGCTAATTTTATTTGTAGATTCAATTGTTGATAGATATGCATTTATTTTCATTTTACTGTTCATATTTTTTATCTTTTTCTTCAAGAAGACCCATCAACATTTCATATAATACTGATGAACTCCTTTAGCTTTTTCTTGTATGGGAAACTCTTGATTTGTCCATCGATTCTAAATGATAGCTTTGCAGGATAGAGTAATCTTGGTTGTAGGTCATTGCTTTTTTTCATGTTGAATATCTCTTACCACTCCTTTCTGGCTGCAAAGTTTCTTTTGAGAAGTCGGCTGACAGTCTTATGGGAGCTCTTTTGTAGGTAATAAACTGCTTTTCTCTTGCTGCTTTTAAGATTCTCTCTTTGTCTTTAACCTTTGGCATTTTCATGATGCTGTGTCTTGGTGTGGTCCTTTTTGGGTTCATCTTGTCTGGGACTCTCTGTACTTCCTGGACTTGTATGTCTGTTTCCTTCACCAAGTTAGGGAAATTTTCTGTCATTATTTTTTCAAATAGGTTTTCAATTTCTTGCTCTCTCTCTCTTCTCCTTCAGGCACCCCTATGATGTGAATATTTGCATGCTTGAAGTTGTCCCAGAGGCTCCTTACACTATCCTCATTTTTTTAGATTCTTTTTTTCTGTTCTGATTGGGTGTTTTTTGCTTCCTTATATTCCAAACTGCTGGTTTGCTTCTTGGCTTTACCTACTCTACTATTGATTCCCTATAAATTATTATTTATTTCTGTTAGTGCCTCCTTCATTTCTGACTGTGCATCCTTCATTTCTGACTGGTCCTCTTTTATGCTCTTGAGGCCCTCACTGAGTTTATTGAGCATCCTTATAACTGGTGTTTTGAACTCTACATCTATTCAACTGCTTATCCCCATTTCATTTAGTTCTTTTCTTAGAGCTTTGTTCTGTTCTTTCATTTGGGACAAGTTTCTTTGTCTCCTCTTTTTGGCTGCCTTCCTGTGTTTGTTTTTATGTATTAGGCAGAGTTGCTATGACTCCTAGGCTTCCTAGGGTGGCCTTTTGTAGTAGGAGTCCCATAGGGTCTAGTGGCACAGCCTCGCCCAGGGGACTTTTTTGAAAGCTAGCTTGAGTGGGAGTCTGGATCTGGCCACAGGTCCTGAAGTCCAAGATGACCTAATGCTTAGCTCCCTTAGTGTGACAGCTCTTTATGGGACAGTTAATCAGGCAGAAGGAATCCATGGGGGTGATTCTTCTGCCCAATTCCTTAGCCTCTGGCAAAGAAGCCCTGAAATCTCATTTTGTCTTTACTCCTATTCAAGTTCATTACTATAGAAGTGTAAACAGAGTTGCTAACGTATAAAATCTCCATCTCTGATGTTCCTCTATTACAGGAATTATAAATCCAATCATTGTTATTAGATTACATCTATGAAATAGTCTTATCTCCTTTATAATTTTAGAATACTTTGAAAAGTAAGAGTATTTTCTGTCTTAGAAAAGAGATGTTCTAACTTTAATATTTTGGGGAGGAGCACATTAAGTACAAAATTATTTCTAGCCTATATGTTTTAATTCCCTGCAACTGCTTCTTCCTTAAAATTTGGTGATGGGGGGGGGGTGTCAATTATTAGTTTTTAAGTTGGTTAAGCTATGAGGTATTGCCATTTTTAAAAGCAGATACTGCTCAATGTATAATTCATAAAGAAAACCAGAGCATTGTCATTGTTCGTGCCTCAGGAGTTCTCCAACGCTGTTTCAGAGTTGACTGACAATAGTTGAAGCATTCTGCTTGGCTCTTCAGTAAACCTGAGCAACATGAACATTTACTGCACTACATTTATCTGGATGGACGCTTTAGAATATGACACTGGTTTCCTGCTGGGAAGACAAACAGTGAAATCAAAGATAGCATAAGGACCTCCGAACTCTTATCAGTTCTTGGGGAGGTCTCTGACAGGCAGGCAGGCTTCCCTCTTCTCATGCAGTTTGCTCAGCATGCCTTACCTCTGAAGTCCCTATCTGATTTACCAGGTTGGGGAGGCCTCGTTCACCCCCATCTTAAGGGCTACCTGCCTTCTCCCCTCCATTTTCAATGCGTCTGCCAAAGCCATTTGCCTTCTGAATGTTAGTGCTGGTCATGGGTCTAGCACTTTACTAAGCACTTAATATACATTATGTTGCTTCTTACAACAACCCTGGGAGGAAATGGTATTGTCGTTTTCCCAATCAAAATATAGGGAAACTGAGGCTAAAATAGCACAGCTAATAAGATGGGGATCTGGCATTTTACCTTAGACCTGCCTCTCTGCTCCAGAGCCCATGAACTTGACCACTCTCTTATCCCGCCTCTTATTTTTCATGCCTGTGTATTTCTTCAGCAAGTAACTCTTTATTGAATCTTTTCTATTTGTCCCTTTTTGTTCCATTCTGTAGACCCATTTATTTTTCCTCATTTTTAACTCCTTGTTGAACTAACCTTGTTTTTTTTTTTCATTTAATGTTGACTTTTAATAAAGTAATCTCATAAAATTTGACTCACATTATTTTAGTAAGCTTAGCTCTTAGGAAATTGTTGACTAGAAAAAAATAACCACAAAAATAAATTTAAAAGCATGACATATTTTCAACTAAGAAAATAACTTTTTACTTTAATTTGCAAAGTATGTCCAATGCTTTTGTATCTCAAACATTTTGGAGGAGAATTGTATAGTACCTTGATTTAAAATGTTGTTTGTACCGTTAATATTCATCATGCAAAATTATAAACTTTAAAATCTCAGCCTTGGCTGGTTTGGCTCAGCAGTTAGAGTGTTGGCTCTTGGACTGAAGGGTCTCAGGTTCAATTCCCAGTTGAGAGCACATTCCTGGGTTGCAGGTTCGATCCCTGGTCCCAATCAGGGTCATATGGGAGGCAACCAGTTGATCTGTCTCTTTCACATCAATGTTTATTTCTCTCTCTCCCTCCCTTCTACTCTATTTAAAAATCAATAGAAAAATATCCTTGGGTGAGGATTAACCAAAAATAAAAAAATAAAAAATAATAATCTCTAGTAAGACACTTGAGAATATTGTTGTCTTTAAAATTCAGAACAATAGAATTATACTAGATATCTAAATTTTATGTTTTAATCTGTTAATAGGGTCCTTACCCCCTATGTAATTTTTACATTTTGTTTAAATTTATTTTTAATTTGTAAGTATGATCATGTTGGAAACAGAAAATAGGATAGTAGTTTCGGAAAGCATATTTTGTTATTTTATTTATGCAAGTCTTTTTCAGCCTTGATGATATAGCACCTATTGCTATAATGATGAAAAGGGTTTCATCTGTCTATTGTGAATATAGGCTTTATATTGATGTAGAAGAATACAGCATTGGTTATCTAGCAAAGCATACTGAAGTTTTTGCTTCAAAGAAAAACCAAGTCATTTGATGTATCCTCTAAACTGTATAAGTTAATTTCTCTAAACATAGAACTATAGAAGAATATTCTCAAGTGATCCTGTTTGGGGAGCCATTTTTATTTATTTCTCTATGTGTTATATGTACACATATACAAATACATGGAAAACATTTTGGAGGGCTACACACCGAACCATAGCAGTGGAATATCCTTGGGGTTGTGGATAGAGATTTGTTGGGAAAAAGGGAGACCTCCCAGTTTTACTCCATGTATTTCTGTATTGTTTGAATTTTTTGTGACTTAAAAAAAACCAAACAGCCAATAAAAACAGCATTAGTTATAATGAATCTTGCTTATATTCTAGTTCCACAGCCTCCTAGGTTAGAACCTCAGGAACCAAATTCTGCCACAAGCACAACAATTGCGGTTTATTGGAGCATAAACAAGGAAGATGTCATCGACTCATTCCAGGTTTACTGCATGGAGGAGCCACAGGATGACCAAGAAGTAAACGGTAGGATTGCTAGTACAAATACAGGTGCATGTGTCCATTTCTGCATCTTAATGTGAAGTATTTAAACATATACATATTATGGCTCTTTCCATAGAGCGTTCATAGCTACTTATAAAAATGACAACAAACCAACAACAGTATAATAAAATAACATATAAGCAAAATTTGGAAATCAGGATAAGAGAAAACAAAATACTGCCTCCTTGGATATCGGATTGACTGTGCTAGTATTGCAGCACTTGTGTTCAAGTAGCTCTAATTTTACCTGATGAAAGCACACGAGTAGTGATGCTGACCATTTGGGTATGCCAAAGGGAAGCCTAAAGTGATTCTTTTGGGTGAAAAGGTGAGTATAGTGCAATAGGATGTTTAGAGACAGAGAGAGAGAAAGACTACATTTACATTGATATAACTTTTATTATAGTATATGGTCATAATTGTTATATTTTATGATAAATTATTATTAATCTCTTACTGTGCCCAATTTATAAATTACACTTTATTATAGGTAAGCAAGTATAGGAAAAAACATAGTATATTAGGGTTCGGTCCTATCTCTAGTTTCCGGAATTCCTTGGGGGTCTTGGAACATGTTCCCCTTGGATAAGTGGTAGATACTGTACCACACTTCATCTCCCTGTACGTCCAGTGATATCATGGAACTCCAGGGCTCTCCAAGGTTCCTCTGAGCAACTATTGTTGCCAGGAGTACTCTTTTTACATTCTTCTTCTGTCCCTGCCATTCCCAAACACTTGCTTGTCCTGTGTCTCGTCCATTCAATGCCTTGAATTCTGCTAATGCCAGTTAATTAATCTGTGATACCATGCTGTGTGAAAACAGGTGTTCAGGAACGTATGCTACGTACATTGTTAAAAGTACTGGGGTGACAGACTTGGCCTGAGAGGACGATTCTTTTGAAAACTGTAGTCATACTTTATAGGCTATGGGGGGAATGTTTTTCAGTGTATAAGTCCTTATAACATTATTTAAATCAAACTTTCTGTCCAGAAAGTATAACTCATTGGGAAAGAGAGATGCAATTAAAGAAATTTGCTGAGTTGAAAAGCTCCTAAATTTCCTTTAAAAGGAAACAGTCTGGGTTTCTGAACTGGAGGGGTTTTGAAAATGTGGCATTCAAGAGTAATAAGGAAGATAACTGGAACTATCATAGGCTAATTTTTAAAAATTTGTTCATTTAAGGAGAGAAAATTTCAGTAAAAATAATTAGATCGGCTCAAAGGGATTGGTGTTAAGAATGGTATTGAGTAATATTTACTACTAAAATATTGAAAGCAAAATAGCATAAGTTTTAGGAAATGTCTTGATTGAACAAAGTTATTTCTTACAATAGTTTATGACCTATCAAAGTTATTTAAGTATTTTCATAAATTGTGGAAATTCCTAGTTGAAAGCATTCTGGAATTCATAGGAAGGAACCAGGATTTGAAACTTTGAAAATCATACCAATACTAAAATGGTTTGCTAATCTGTAAAGATGTTTTATACCATTACAAGTTTAGAAAACATGCAGTTGTCCTATTTTATTACATATACTCCTAAAATACTGGCATTGCTTCTCAGGGACTACCTTGAGAATGTATTACTGAGATTTAAGCTAACATAGACTCTGCAATTTTAGTTTTTGCTATTGAAATGTTACTTTAATTGTAGCATATGAAGCTCAGGATCTTACTAATATGCTATTATTTTTGATAAGTGTTCATAAGCAGTAGTATGTTATTTTAAATATTTTTTTTAGAATGCTATTGCTTTCTTATGTATTCTAAAGTGATAGCTATCACATAATGATAGCTGTAAGCATATCAGTTTGGGTTTTCCTCTGAATATAGTCATAGACCAATTTTTTCTATAACTATAACTTTCAATTAACTTTGGAAGACACCCTAGAGTTTATGATTATGTTTTATACTAGACTTGGTAGAAGAATACAGAGTTACAGTGAAAGAAAGCTACTGCATTTTTGAAGATTTGGAACCTGACCGATATTATCAAGTGTGGGTAATGGCTGTGAACTTTACCGGATGTAGCCTTCCCAGCGAAAGGGCAATTTTTAGAACAGGTAAGGAGATGTTAGGGTGGTGTTAAGAGACTATTCTTCACAGACTATTAAGATCAACCAATAAGCATTTATTAAGCACCTATTGCATGCTGGGTATACAATGATGAATAAAGCTGGGTTCTTATTCTCAAGAAGCTCATAATAAAGTAGCAGAGATACAAAATAGATGATTCTAAAAAATTGGTGACAAAGGCCATGATCCAATTATACATAGGTTATTATGAGAACACTCCAGAGGGGTACAGGAGTCAGCCTGGGGCAGAAGCAGAATCAGAAATGTCTTTGTAGAACTAATGCCTGAATGAACTCCTTCGAAGGATCTGTAGGAAGTAAAGTGTTAAAGGAATGTATTTATTTGAAGAAATCCTATGAGCAGAGGCGTCAAGATAAGAAACAGTATGGAGTATGCATGATACAAAAATAAGTTTGCTATTACTTCTTTGACTCAAGACAAAGACATAAGGTGAGAAAGACTAGTTAGTGTGTATAGAGTTCATATTTGCTAAGGTAAGTAGCTCAGCTTTATCATATGGGTGCTAGGAGCCCTAAAAAGGTTTTTCAATGATGGTTTAGCTGAGAATGCATTCCCATGAAGGAATCTTTTCACAGGGGCTGAAGGCATAAGCCAAGTTTGAATTGCCTTTAAGATGATAGTAACTACCTCAGGAGAACATGTGACTTATTCCTACTGTTTTATATTTTCTTCTTGCCTTTTAAAGCAAATATTTATTGAGCACCTACTAAAGGCAAGATTATGGCTAACTTCTTTTTTTATCCTCACCCGAGGACATTTTTCCCCCCATTTTTTGTTCAGATAGAGTGGGAGAGAGAGAGAGAGAAACATCGATGTGAAAGGGACACATCAAGTGGCTGCCACCTGCATGACCAACCAGAGCCGGGGACAAACTGTAACCGAGGTACATGCCCTTAGCGGGAACCAAACCCGAGTCTCTCTGGACTGTAGGCCAATGCTCTAACCGCTGAGCCAAACCGGCCAGGGAAGATTATGGCTAACTTTTGTGTACAAAGAAGGGGACAAGAACATATATATGTTCTTCATATATATATGAATCCTCACCCGAGGACATTTTTGCATTTATCTTCAGATTCAGATAGAGTGAGAGGGAGAGAGGGGGGAAGAGAGAGAGAGAAACATCAATATGAGAGAGACACATAGAGTGGTAGCCACCCACATGACCCAAACCTGGGCCGGGGACAAACTGCAACCGAGGTGCATGCCCTTAGCCGGAACCAAACCTGGGACTCTCTGGTCCGCAGGCTGCTGCTTTAACTGCTGAGCCAACCTGGCCAGGGCAAGAATATTTTGATTTGCTTGTATAAGTATAAAGAAACTCGAGTAAGATTTATAGGAAACTAATACTGGAAGCTGGTTGGGAATGGGTGAAAATTGAGCAATTTGGAAGGCAGGGGTGGGAGGGAGATTTTTTCACTATATAAATTTTTATACCTTTGGGGTTTTCAACCAAGAATATATATATATTTTAATTTTTTTAATTTATTAATTTGTTTTTGTTACAGATGTTTCTCATTTTTACCCCATTGATACCCTCCGCCCCCTTACCTCATCCCCATTGTGCATGTTCATTGGTCATGCATACATGCATGTAAGTTCTGTGGTTTATCTCTTCCCCCACAAACCTCCCCTCCTCTGAGGCTTGTCAGCCTGTACCCCACCTCCATGTCTCTGGGTTAATTTTGTTCAGGTTTGTTCAGTTCATTATATTCCACAAATAAGTGAGATCATGTGATATTTGTCTTGCTCTGGTTGGCTTGTTTTGCTTAGCATAATACTTTCCAGGTCCTTCCATGCCATCTCAAAGGATAAGAGATATATTTTTAAATAAAAAATTTAAAATAAAATCATACCCAAGCATTTTTCCCAGGTTCTGGAGAAGCAGAACTGGAATTCATTGCCCCACAGTTGACTTGGTTCTCTCTCTACAGCACCCTCCACCCCTGTGATCTGTGCTGAGGACTGTACTGTGTGTTGGAACACGGCCACCATCCGATGGCGGCCTGCCAACCCAGAGGCCACTGAGACCTACACTCTGGAGTATTGCAGACAGCACTCTCCCGAGGGCGAGGGCCTCAGGTAAGAATCTTCTCCACAGGGAGGGGAGACCCCACCTCTGCACAGAGAGAACCTGGGTTGCCAGGAACCCAGCTCAGGGCCCAAAGCTGACCTCTGAGCTTATGCTCACAGAGGGCAAAAAACTCCCTGAAATCCTGCTGAACTAATTAAATTGACTTGATTTGCAACTCCATCACTATTCATCAATGAACTTTAAGTTTGTAATAAAACACATGCTACTGTGCAGAATAACTCCCTTGTAAGAAAAATGTATGTGAACATTCTTTGAGGTATATTTAACTTGAATCATTAGACAGGATTTATTCATATTTTATGCTCATGTTATTATAATTATTTTAGTTATATCAGAATAGGTACCACTTGACTCAGGAAACTAATGGTGAGCTTGTGTACAATGTAAATATGTATTTGTAATATATAGATGTAAAATGTAAATTGGAATGTCTCTGTAATATATTGCTAATATTAAAGAAGCTAATTACATATATAATCACAGAGACATGCCTGCTGCTCCAAGAGCAGGAAGAATCTACAGATTTTTGCAGGAAAAAAGAAATGTAAATCTTTCTCACCAAAATTAGGAAGCTAAAATTTATCAGTAAAGGCCCGTGCATCCAATGGGCATGTGGTAAATGTTAATTCATTTACTGAGGCTGTGTTTTCTTAACCTCCACACCATGGCAATAAGACAACTTCATGTTCCAGGATGAATATTCAGATCATTATTATTAATATTCATATTTTGATAGAGACATTTTTAGCTCTTTTTGAAACCAAATTTACTGAGATAAACTATTGTGATAGGTTATGGAACTTAGAAATAATGGTATGAAACTAGACAGCTTTTCAATAAAGTGTATTATTAAGCTCTTATTTTCATAATCAATCAGCAATATTTATTTGGTAATGATGTGAGGTTTCATACAACTGAACAATAATGATAGTTTTTTCAAGTGTGTGAAGACAGGCTTCACAAAATAATGATCAGAGGATGCATTGGTGTTGAGTGGGGTGTGTACGGGTGGGATGTAGGCATTTCAGAGAAGTGAGAACAGAGAAAATGTACATCTCTGTTAGTGCAGTAGCTGGAAGGCAAGTCTCAATGCTCAGCAAATAGCTGAGAGGTGACAGCAGGCCAGGATGAAGGAGTGGAGGGGGGGAGAAGAGGGGCGTGGGAGAAAAGGAGGAGGGAGAGGGGGGGAGACAGAGTGAGAGAGTATAACTGACTTTTATTGAGCACTTACTATTTGCCAAGTCAATGTCCTAGATGCTTTCATAAGTTGCCTTATTTAATCTTCAGAATAACTCTGACAGAAAACAGATGCTTCGAGAGGCTACTCAGCTAGTGCGTAGCAATCGGGATTCAAACCCTGCTTTGTTAGATTTCGAAGTCCAAGTGCTAACCACTATTTAATGTGGCTTAAGGGAGTCCTGGACCTTTTCTATGGAGACTCCTGATGCTATGAGAACGCTATGTCAGGAGTGCCTGAGTCCCAGGCAGTCTCCCCCCAGAGCTCTCCGAGGAGTGTTGTGGGATGACTCATCCTTGTTATGGCATCAGTCCCCAGCTGCCATTTGCATAAATAACATCAACACAGTTGGATTATTAAATCAGCAGAAATCTGGAAACTCTGAGACCAAGTAACCATGTCACTGAGGGAACTGTGATGTCATCTCTTAAATGTGGCTACAAGGAGAAGGGGAAGGGAGGTGGGAGCAAAGGTGGCATCCACTGAGGGCCTTCAACAAGCCAGGAACTGTGCTAAATCTCATTTAACTCTCTCAACAATCCTAAGAGGAAGGACATGATCTCTAGGAAATGAGACTCAGGAAGGTTATATAATTTGGACAAGGTATTAAATGATGGAGTGAGAGTTTGTAGTTAGGATTCAAATTTAGACCTGTCTTATTCATTCCACTAAAAAAAAAAGTTGTGTCCTTATGCAGACTAAGTTAGCATGCCTCAACAGCCTGGCCACTGGGAGCTATTGTGTATCCTTAGTTTCTTTTGTCACATGGAAAACATGGATGTAAAGAGAGAATGCAGTACCATTCACAACCCTTTTGATTAATGATTTTCCTATCTCTGATCATTCTGGGGCCCTCAACACAAAAACACAAGTCTGTGTAATATCAACACTAATAATGCATTCCAAACAAATCCTTCTACCAAAGCCAAAGAAACAAATGACAATTCCATTTGTAGGGGAACAATGGACATCCACCAATTTCATTGAGACAAAAGTTGAGCTTATTAAAACATAAGGCTTGTCATTAGTTTATTCTATTTGAGACTTTGCCAATGGGTTCATTTTTATTTTTCTCTTTAAAGGAGAGCATCTGAGAGGCTGGATAAGCAGAACTTTATAGTAGTTATGAAGCAATACAAGCACCCTTTATTATTGAATGAATATAGTCCAGCAGGTTTAGAAATGAAGGGAAATTCCAGTGCAGCCTTGTTGATAGTTTGGAGCTGTGTTGGAGATGGAGCTGTTTTCCAGTTAGGTGCTAAAAGACCTGCCAGTGCCAGGAGCTAGAATGGTATGTCCAGTCCTCAGCCCAGGGATGACTCCCGGTGTCTGGATCCCTGCTGGTCTGACAATAGATAATTTTTTTTTTTTTATCCTCACCCAAGGACATTTTTTCCATTTTTTGTTCAGATAGAGTGGGAGGGAGAGCGAGGAAGAGAAAGAGAAACATCGACGTGAAAGGGACACATCCAGTGGTTGCCACCCGCATGACCCAACCAGGGCCGGGGACAAACTGCAACCGAGGTACGTGCCCTTAGCGGGAACCAAACCCGGGTTTTTCTGGACCGCAGGCCGACGCTCTAACCGCTGAGCAACCGGCCAGGGCTAGATAATTTTTTGAAGCAAGCAAAATTTGGTTGGCCACCACCCTGCTCATTTGCTAAGTTTATTGCTGATGCACCATGTCAGAGTCATCCCTTATCAGTAAAGAAGCCACAATAACTTATCCCTCAGGTGGGCATCAACAGACTGTGCAGTAATTCATCCTTAATCTCAGAGGCCCAGGGCTGCAAAACCCGTTTGTATTTCTTTTGGTTCTTCAATTTAAGAGTTCAGGGGGGAAAAACATTCTGCTCTTTCGGAGCAGCCATGTGTCTTAGGTCTTTGGGCCAGCTGGTTCTTACAATCACTTTAAAGCATTCTGTGTAGTTGTCTGATGGTTCAAACCTATATAACATTAACTATAATCTATATTGCACAATCTCTAAACTGTCAGCTGTAGACAGCTAGTCAGACAATAGAACTGATAAACAAGAACCTCAAAACTTAATCACCCCTAGTCAATAAAAGCAAATTATCCCTACTTTTCCCTTCTATTAGAACCACATTCTTCACTTTGGTTTTCTGCCCAGCAGTGCATAATTTTTTGTGTGTCTTGGAAAGAACAGCAAGCCAAGGGTTGTCTGATCCCACTCCCTTGACCACATGAAGGGATCATTATGCAACCTCAGCGCCTGGGACAGTGTCTGGCATATTGTAGCTACTTAATAAATATGTGTTACCTGAATGGGTACATATCAATTAGGATTATAATACTGACTCCGATAAGGAAAGTTTGGTCAACTTTGAAGATAATCTCTTATTCAAAATAAGGGGAAAAAACTGTGCCAACAAAGTAAAGAAGAATGGCAAATGAGTTAATTTTAGTGCTTGGATACTTAACTAGGAGACAAGACTAGTCTAATCTGTAGGCTGGAAACCTTTTCATGGGTCACTGATAGTGAAGCACACTTATAAGCTTGCTTATCCATTGGTTACATAGCCTTTACATCTGTTCTAGGTTCTGTGCAAAAATCCTATGCTAAACCAGATCCAAAAATTAATCCAGAATCCATTGCAGGGAAGTAAGGGGATCAAAGGGTACTTCTCTTTGATGTGACTCAGTTTGACTGGGTGAGGACTGGGACCTTGTCTGTGTAGCTATTCAATAAATGTCTATTTAATGAATGAATGAGTGGATGAATGATGGGATTAGCCAATCTTTTGTGCTTGCCAAATCCAAGTCATCTAACTGGCTGGAATCTCTAGCAAAGAAGAGAGAGAGAGAGCTAAAGAGAACTAAGAACTAAGTGATTTCACATCTCTTTCTCCCACCCAGTCCCTGAAAAGACAGACAGCCTTAAAAAACTCTGGTCTGGAGTAGGAAGAGAAGTAGAAAGGAAATGAAAAGGATGAGTAATACGAACACACACACACACACACACACACACACACACATCCACCTTCAGACCTGTATTTGTTCCCGCAGTATGAGGGCCTCTAGGATGTTCCAATTTAAGACCAAAGGTGCTGGTTCAACTCTTATGGTGGGTGTTTAAATGGAATGAGCCCATTGTGCCCCCAAGTTCCATGACGCAGTGTCTGAAATAACCGAGCAATTGCCTCCATTCCATAATCCTCACAGAAAACACATTTGCATATTTTTGTGTGGGCACCAGCGGCTCATCCCAGCAGTCAGCCCCTGTTGGGATTGGGGGTGGGCGGGAGTGACAATCCCTGGCTTGTGTGCGGGGGCAGAGGGAGCTCCTACTCAGCCTTTCCTGTTTTTCTTTGAATGCTCTCCTCAGGTTGGGTGGGCTCAAAACACTTTCAGAAATTTTCCACTGCTCAGCTGTTTCCTCAGCTGCTCTGTCTCTCCTGTGTGGAGAGAAGTCAGCAGAACTGTGGGTGGAGGAGGGAAAACTGAGAGAAATATAGTACAGGGATTAGCTGTGTGGGCTGTACAGAGAGAAGCTGTGCACTGAATGACAAATCTGTGAGACTCAGTGTGCCACAAAAGTAGTTGGTAGTGAACTTCCTGCTCCCCAGACCTGACAGAGTCTGTGGGTGGGGAGACCCTTGGGGGTAAGGGGTGTCGGGCTCTGGGTGCTGGGCCTGTGAGCTTACACTCCTCTGCTTCCAGCCTTGGGGGCCACACGTGGTAGAGCAGGAATAGAATTGTCTGTCACTGTTGGATGTTCCTGCTGGGGA